ATGACACAGCTTAGCTAGCAACATACTGAATGAAGAAATGCTGAAAACATTTCCTCTAAGATCAGGAACAGGACAAAAGTGTCCACACTCACTTTTTTGCCACACTCACTACTAATTGTCAAAGCAATTAGGAAAGAGAAATGACTAAAAGGCATGCAAATTCTATTTGAAGATGATGTGATTCTATACATAGAAAGTCAGAAGACTCTTCCAAAAGACTATTAAAACTGATAAATTCAGTAAAATAACAGGATAAAAATTAACATAAGAAAATCACCAGCGATTCTATTTACCAATAATAGATGTAGTGATAAAAATATTACAAAAGTGATCCCATTCACAATAGTCACAAAACAATACTATAAAACGCCAAGGAATAAACTTAACTAAGGAAGTAAAAGAGTGCCATGATGATGATTTTAAAACACTGAGGAAAGAAAGTTAAGAAGACACTAAAAGGTAGAAACATCTCCCATGTTTATGGAGAGGAAGGGTGGATACAATCAATGTCCATACTTTACATAGCAATCTAACGATTCAGTGCAGTCTCCAGCAAAATACCACTGGCATTCCTCACAGAACTAGAAAAAAAGAATCCTAAAGTTTATGTGGAAGTACAAAAGAGCCTGAATAGCCCAAGCATCCTTAAGGGAAAAAGCAAAATCAAAAAACCAAACCTGTGCTGGGAGAGAACATGGCGGTGGGAAGGCAGTGAGCAGCCTCTGCCCTGCACCACCCTCCTGCAGACCTCACCTAGTGGGCATCCTCCATCTCTGAGAGTGTTAGGGGACCCCTGTCCAGCTGTTCTCCGCAGAAATCACCAGTGCTGTGACCCAGAGCAGGGTTCTGGGCCTCAGCGTTCCAGTAGGATGCCTGGTGTTGGAGCAGGCCCAAAGCCGAAAGTTCCAGTCCACTCAGGACTCGGCCAGAGCCTCAGCAGAATCACCTATCAACACATCTGCAGATCGCCAAGACCTCGCTCTGCTTCCACGCAGGTCACCCAGCTGCTACCTACCTACAGCACAAGGCCATCGCTCCCCCCACCTCACCAGACACCCTGGCCCTGAAAGCAGGCCTCCGCCATCTTGGCTCAACATTCTTGCCACATTAGGTGGGGTCAGTTCCCAGATCAGATCTCCAGCGGCCAGGTACCCTCAGTGGTAATCCAACAGAGTAGCTGCCCAACACAGGTGTGCAGTGCGACCAAGGAGCTG